ATGCTGCCATTAACACATCGGGGTGTCTTGTTACCAGAGAGGAGGCAGAAACACGGACTGCTCCCTCTGCAATTAGTAAGCACTAGCTATGCGGTAAAAAAAGCATCTGGGATGCACGCGCAGAGCACCGGGCCGGAAATTCCGAGATGTCTCAGTGTCAGCTTTTGATTTCGTCCTCCAGATGGAAGAGATCGCAGTTTGCACTGGAAGAAGCAGCTGTAAAAGGACGTAATGCACAACGGAAGAATAAGAGCCCTGCCTTGATAATGCCCGTTCGGGGAGTTTAAATGAATGTGCAGGGCGAGTGTAGGTGTGCACAGAGCCCGGAACTTTGGTGTCGTATTGGTAAACGTGCAGAGAATCCGAAAACTTGTTTCAGCTCCTCCCTATTGATGTGGTTTAGATGCTAAAAAGATGGAATCGACCAATAATGGCTTTTTCAGCTCCTTTTGGCAGTCCCTGCCCCAGGGCCAGGGGGGGGGGGGGGGATTTCTCTCAGATCTGATTTGATTCCCACCAGCCCATTTTGGAGGAAATCCTCAAGAGCTGACTGTCATCTTCTCTTACTTACGTACGAATTGCCCCCAGTGACCAGGAAGGCAGGCAGGTACAGCTGGGGCTGCGCCAGCAAACGCTGCTGGGAATCCACCTTCCCTCCCTCTCCTTGGCCCCGTAACCGATGTCTTCCCAAACTCTGACTCCAATCTTCCCCCCCCTCTGTGGATCATTTGCTCCTGGGTTTGTAAGATAAAAATCAGAAGCTCTAGGCACCTGCTCGCTGCATTTTGCTCCATTTCTGCAGTCAAGAAATTAAATCCATCCCAGAGCAAACGGGCACAAGGTTTGCCAAGCACAAACACCCCCCTGGCCCATCTGTCCTGGCGGAGCAGCCCCGGGGGCCGTGGACGGGGGGGCAGGCGAGTCCTGCCTGACCCTTGCACAATCAGCACCTGCCCGAAGCGTGGGAACAAACGCCAGCATCCGATCTCACGCATCTTACGTGGCTCCAAGCTGCCTTTTGAAACACTCAGTGACGGGTTTTTGGGAAGGGAAGTCACAGAGCAATCGGCCCCTTCCCGCACTGAGTCTCAGCTGTGGCTCACTTGTCCTGATTCTGCGAAGGAAGCCCCGAGCTTCCCCAGAGCTATTCCTGTCCCGACAGTCTCCCTTGTGCTCCCGCCCCTCGGGCAGCCAGAGGAGTTCCTGACTCTCCCTCAGTGCTTTGTCTTTGTCCTCCCCTCTCCAGGTCCTGGTGGCCACCGTTGACAACGCCAACCTCCTCCTGCAGATTGACAACGCCCGGCTGACAGCTGATGACTTCAGGACCAAGTAAGCCACGTTTCCTGGAAAAACAGAACAAAGTCTGCAGGGACGTTTGATGCAATGAGGAGAAAATCCCCTCCAAACCCCAAAAAGGCAGCATGGTAGCAAAGCCTCTGAACTGAAGGTTCAATTTCCAAAGCAGATAGTTATCTCAATCTTACAGGGGCTTAGGGATTGTTTTTCATCCATCCAAAACTTCTCTGTTTTACACCCGTTGCTTGTTCCTCTGTGTTACGACCTCTCCTGCGCAGAGAACTTGCCCTGTGCCTCTTCAGCTGTGTGTGTAGAACTCAGCAAAGCCCAGGCCCAGTGACAAGGCCCGGTGCTGCCGGGAGCAAGGTGATGTGATGCACTGAGACGGGCGCTGTTCTCAGCCCCTCCCCTGCATGCACTAGCATCAGAGGGTTCTCTACGCGCCACCGGGGTCGTGCAGTGTTGCCACGATGCCAGCAGCGGCGTGGAGGAAGCGAACACCAAACCGAGGTGCTCTGTGCCCGGCTGGGCAACATCTCGTGCAACTTCTGTGACTGTTCTTGTGTCCCCAGGTTTGAGACGGAGCAGACTCTGCGCCTGAGCGTGGAGTCCGACATCAACGGCCTGCGCAGGGTCCTGGATGAGCTGACCCTGGCCAGAGCTGACCTGGAGATGCAGATCGAGAACCTGAAGGAGGAGCTGGCTTATCTCAAGAAGAACCACGAGGAGGTGAGCACAGAGCCAGGCTCAAAAAAGTCCAGCCTGGGGCCCAGAAATATGAGGTCGGGTCCAACCTTTAAGGCTATGTTGTGTTGTGAACTGCGGGGAGGGCGATGAGAGGTGCTGTAAGGGAGCAGAGATGATGCGTTCTGGCTGACAGCTCATCCTCCCGGAGACTCTACGACCCCTCACCACTTGTCATTTCAGTAATGTCCAGCGTCGCTGTCAGAGGTTTATTAACAATCCCAGCAGCTTCAGGCCTGGAAGGTCTGTCTCCTGAGAAACGAAGCCAGCTGCAGGCTCTGAGTTATTCCCTAAAGAATTAACAACTCAAATGGAGATTTCTTAAGAATCTGGATAATTTTCTTTGTGATTGTGGCACACAGGCCCCAGTTTTCTCCCTGTTGATCTGCCCCAGAAAGACCTGCTGCAGGATGCCCCCATACCTGAAGAACTCCAGAGGAACATCTCTGCACGCCGGTGGTTGCAGGGCGTGAAGATGTGTCTCTTTTGCCCCAGGAGATGAACGCCCTGCGCGGGCAGGTGGGTGGAGAGATCAGCGTGGAGATGGATGCTGCTCCCGGGATCGACCTCACCAAGATCCTGGCCGAGATGAGGGAGCAGTACGAGAGCCTGGCGGACAAGAACCGCAGGGACGCCGAGCAGTGGTTCTTCAGCAAGGTGAGCGGGGGAGCCGGCAGTGCCGGGGGGTGCGGGACCGGGGCTGTGCCCCTCGCCGGGGCGGTGACGCACGGTTCTGCCTCCTCACAGACGGAAGAGCTGAACCGGGAGGTGGCCATCAACACGGAGCAGCTCCAGAGCGGCAAGACGGAGATCACGGAGCTGCGCCGCACCATCCAGAGCCTGGAGATCGACCTGCAGTCCCAGCTCAGCACGGTACGAGGGGCCGGCTCCCTGAGGGGCGGGGGGCTCGCAGCAGCGCGGGCCAGGGGACGCAGGGGCGCTGCCAGTCCCACGCCGCCGCCCCCCTGAGCCCGACCCTCTCCTCTGTGCGCAGAAAGCGGCGCTGGAGGGCACCTTGGCCGACACCGAAGCCCGCTACGGCACCCAGCTGGCCCAGCTGCAGGCGCTGATCACCAGCGTGGAGGAGCAGCTGGGCGAGCTGCGCTGCGACATGGAGCGCCAGAACCACGAGTACAGGGTCCTGCTGGACGTCAAATGCCGCCTGGAGCAGGAGATCGCCACGTACCGCCGGCTCCTGGAGGGCGAGGACGCCCAGTACGTAGAGGGGCTCCCTGGGGAGGGTGGCTCAGGGGGAGACGGGTGATAGACGCAGAACCTGCTCTCTGGGCGCTCGGTCCCGTTGCAGCGCCCAGGGCCGGTCTCCACGTTGGCACCAGCCGCAGGTCCCGGTGGCTCTGTCCCCGCTCCCTGCAGGGAGATGCTCTAACGGGCACCAGTTGGTGCTGGAAGGGGCGGTGGCCCCTCTGGCCTCTCGGAGACACCACGTGGGGCAGCAATTTTGGCAGCTGCTCTCAGCCTTTGCTGTTTTCCTCCTGCCTGAAATCAGAGCCTGCGTATCAACAACGAAAAAGAGTTTGTCCCTCAACTTCTCTCTGTTTTTCTCCCTCTCTTGTAGCATCTCTTCCCAGTACTCCTCTGCCATGGCCTCGCACTCCGGCAGAGACGGTAAGAACCTGTCTCGCTGTGCTCACCTGTAACAAACAGCTTGAGATCTGCTTTGGAGCAGCCGCCAGACCGAGGGGGGCTGAGGCCACTCCTGGGGCACGCTGTGCCACCTCGCTGGCTGCTCAGAGACCGCAGCGGCGAGAGCTCGGGTGCATCTTGCAGCTGCGAGCCACAGGGAAAGCTCTCAGGAAGGGCAATACCTTCCACTCCTGTACCGCAAGAACGGTCTGACCTAAACAGGCCTTGTGATTGAGCAGCCGGCGTTCTGGCTTACACAGACCTGAGAAAACGCGTGACACCACACATTTAAGACATGTGTGTGACTTCTCCCTTCTCGAGCTTTCCCGTCAGCCCACTCTTCCCTCTTCCTAACCAGCGTAGGGTTGTTTAAACAGATAACATCTGATTGTCTGATAATGTGACGAGAAATTTCTCTCCCTCCTGCCCTCTGAACAATTGTCCTCTGCTTTCCTTCTGCAGTCACGACGTCTTCCCGCCAGGTCCGCACGATCGTTGAGGAGGTGCAGGACGGGAAGGTGGTCTCCTCCCGGGAGCAGGTTGCGCTCACCACTCGCTAGGAGGACAAGCAGCTCCGGGGACCCTCAACCCAAGAGAGCGGCGAGCTGCCCCGAGCACTCTCCGAGGCCGTATGTGATGGGTCACAGAAAGCTTTTCCCCTTCAGTCACCTGCTCCTCCTTCCTCTATTCCCCTCATTTCACGCAGGTGTCATTGTGCACTCTGTACGCATTTAATAAAGCTTCTTTCCTCGTTCATGCAACTGCAGACTTGCCTGTCACTGATACGTGATGCCTCAAAGCCTCAGGGCTGTGTGTTCATGCCAGGGAAAGTCCTAAGAAACCACAAGAAGCCAGCGAGAGGAGGGGAATGGAGGGATGTGGGTTCCACCTGGAGCAAAACTAATTTGAGACAGCTTTTTCTACAGAACTCATTGCCTATGGGACTGCCCAAGACACAAACCAGATAAATTTTATACAAAAGGAAGGCAATGATGGAAGGATGATGCGTGAGGTCAATGTGCCGCATCACCGATAAATAAAGCCAACGAAATAAAGCTCAGTCGTGCAACCCCTGGTATCAGAAAGAGCCACTTTCTCCCATAAATTGAACTTCAATGACTTCAGCAAGACGACTGCCGTCACAGGCACTGTTCTGAGGTTGGTGAATCTTACACACCCATGCCTTCTGTCTCATTTGACTGTTTAAATCACACTATTAGGCACACGGTAAGAAAACTTCATACAGGTCTTTTCACGTTGCCCGAGGGCTGCATGTAACAGCTCTAAAGTAACCACTGCTTAATCCGCAGAGGGATGAGCGGCAATAATTTTTTATCACTGCAGCATCTAGCAGATCCCTGCTCAAATCCTTGACAGACACGTGCCGGTTGTCGGACGCTGACGCCTGCGGGCGAGCAGCCAGCCGGGATCGGGGCACGGCCCGTGCGCTGGCAGCCAGGCACTGCCTCTGCCCCTGCCCATTCCCCTCCTGGGGCACCCAGTCCCCCACCACCACCACCATCCTGTCCCGTGGGTGAGAGAGGCAAGGAAACCACTTTAGACCCAAAGACCTGATGGAATCCCTTAGATCCAGCTTCAAGCTTCCCAGCCAGTGGTACCTGGGAGCTGCGTTCAGCCTTGGGTTCAGATTTGGGCCCGAAACAAAAGGAAAAGGTAAAAGCTTGTGGTACATCAGCTTCCCTTTGCTTATGACGATGTACCAGGGGATTCTGCGAAGTCAAGCACGTCCGTCTCTTGGATTATTGCTGATGATTCATTATCCCGCCGGCTCCACAAAGTCTCTCGGGCCCCCGGTGACCAATGACAAAGGCAGCTCCCCGGCCCCTGCGGACTCGAGAGAAGAGCTGGTGATGTCATGCGGGGCGTGACAAGACGAGCAAAGGAGAGGAAAGGTGATCGAAGAAGTGGGGAACCTGCCAGTCTTTCCAGAAAAGGGAGTGTGAAGAGATGTTATCACTCTGTGTTACTGTTCAGCAATTACGGAGAAGGGCAGGAAACGAAACGCAGACCAGAGTGAAGAGTTCATCGACTGAATCACGCTCCGCTCTTTGCTGGAAGAACAGACCTTCCCTGCAGAAGCAGGAAGTCAAGCGAGCTAGAGCCACCTCAAAAATAAAAACGAGCAAAAATGTACTTTAGCATCAAGCTGCCTTGGACTGCATGGCAAGGGGCAAGGGTGCAGGCTGGAAATTCTGATTAAACTGCAAATGCACTTTTTCCCCCCCCCCCCCCCCCCCC